ACTGTAAAAAGGAGGATTGTTGAATTGAGTGTGCGTGGTCAAATTCTGGGATAACGAGTGATCAGGAGGTTTGAGCTTTTATTGGTATATTTGGCGTATGAACTCCCTGTAACTATCCAGTGGAATAAAGGGAAAGTCTGTTGGACTCACATGGCGGCGTTTACCTTAAATACTGAGATAAAACAGCAAACTTAACCCGTTCGTAAGACGTTTATATATTTCCACCTTCCACGTATTTTCTTTCATTTAAAATTTAAAAAATGTGATGAAAAACAAGACAGGCCTCCATTTCTTTGTCTTCCATCTACCTGTCAACCACGGTGGCCACCGTAACATGAGCCCCCTGTTATTGTCGTCGTCCCCCCCCCCCCCCCTTCTCCTCCTGCCCGGTGTTTTGTTTGAAACCAAACCCTCCACGTCCCCCTCTATGGTGGCGACCTGACTTTACACATGAAAAAAAAGAAGAAGAACGTGACCCCGCTTCCTGTCTCATTTGTTCTCATGGAGGCCCTTTGTTTTGTTGTATTCACTGCCTTAAAAAGAGTAGGCACATCTGGCTGTGGAAGTACAAGTTTCACCACTTGTTGCGCGCGCACACACACACACACACACACACACACACACACACCACACACACACACACACACACACTGGCAAACCGCACATCTTCATCCAAGCTCATCACAGTCCCCTGAAGAGGGAGCTGTTGTTTTATTTGTGCCTCCATTCCCACAGAGGGTAACACAGTCTTATCCCTACTTCTAATTTTAACTTCTTTAGTTTCTAATCTGTCATTTCCAACATATGTTCTGATTTTCCCTGCAGTCGGGCAGTGATCTGCAGGTCTTTGTGAGACGGCGAATAGCCCGAATCAACTTCTTTTCTGTTTTGCTTTATGTTCTCTTCAGCCCATTAACCAGTCTAAGCTCGTCTAATAATATAGGTGATAATTAAAGAAAAAGATAGGATAAAACCTTGCCTTAGGTCTGTGTGGGAGTGGGCACATATGGGGAAAATTCTGCCCTCAAGCCTTTCCGTCAGAGTCGCTCTCGCTGACTTGTTCGGTGTTGAAAGAATATGAAATTCTTCGTAACCTAACCAAGCTGTTAGGTGTGTAAACTGCATCAAAACACAACAAAAACTAAAGCGAGTCTTCAGATTGTGGACTGTGTGTATTTTGAGACCGGCCTGATCCTCCTGTTGGTTTGGCGTTGCACCTTATTGGTCTGCAGCTTGAAGACTCCAGCTCCAGTGAGAGCGCAGAAAGGTGCATATTTCACTTGCTTTATTGGATTGTCCTTACAGATTTTCCAATATGTGATTGCCACAGTCTGTTTGACATTTCACATTTTTAAAACATTGTTAGTATTTTAAAAACATACAGACCAAAATAATTAGATTTTATAATTTAGAAAGTTACAGCAGCTTATTTATTTATGTTTATAAAAATTTATACACAGCCACAGTTGTGTTATCTTTTGTGCTGTCTTTCTATTTTTAATGAAAACTTTATTTTCTTTAGCACTACCGCATGCATTTAAATTTAGAGCTGAGGGCAGGAAGGGGTAAGAAAAACAAAAAGCAGCATGCAGGTTTATAATTACTCTGCTGCCTTTAAAATAAGTGTGATACTGTAAGTGTCTTTATAATCTCATGGGTCTGTTGTCAGTGGACAGTGATGTACACTCTTATTTAGTTTCTAAAATAAATACCAGCCAAAATCACTTAAATCACTTTTCCTCCTCATCCTGATGCTCTGGTTGGACTTCAGCAGATCTCATTGGCATCAGTATGTTGAGTTGCTGTCATGTGATTGGCTGATTGGGTTTGTGTATTGAGTGTATGTAAATGTGAAATCATCTTGTGGGAGGGTTGTCCATGAACAGTGACATATTTGCATTTTTAGAGTAAAAGAGCTCGGGGGCAGCTGTAAAGTGAAGAGAGGTAATTCGATTTGGTAACGCTGCTTGAACAGAAGCATCGGTTAAAGCGTCCGCGGCCTTTGTTCAGGTCATTTTAAAAAAACAAAACAAAAAAAAAACCTTATCAGTCTCTAAAGGTTTAGCAGCATTAACAGCATCTATAGTGTAAACTCATTTTCCATTTATGAATAGCCAGCAGCAAGATAAAATTACATGGATCCATTTCATGTATCTGCATTAGTAAACAGCCCTTTACCTCCTCTCTAGTTTTCTGTTGATCAGCTATACATCCAAGATAATGTTCCCTTTAGGAAGCTCCAGGGATCGGATATGAGAAGATGTTTTATTACAAATAAAGTGAAGTAAGAATATTAAAGCGCACAGAGACGCACACAAACATGCCAGGGTATAAAGTTAATTTCTCAGAATTCACTTACCGATCCATTAACCATCCCACCCTGTCTCCTGTGTCACATGTATCATGTGTTTTAACGGGCCTCTCTCTAACACACACACACACGCGTGCATGAATGCTCTCCCCGTGTGTTTAATTACAGCCATAATAAGCACTTGGATGGAAACTAAGTTTGATAAGGCCACTAATGACAAATGCGATTTGGGAAATTCCCTTTTCCCGCTCTCTCAGCTTCGTCCTCGTCATCTCATACATCACATCTTAATTATGAGTCTTCCTAATGTGTTTTCCTGGGATTTACTCTTTCATATTTCAAGATTGACAAAGCGCCCAGCAATTACTGTCTGTCGTTGTTACCGTGGATATAATATCTACAGTCACATGATGGCCTCCCAAGGTGACCAGGAAGTGGGTTTTTCTAATGGTGATGTTGGGTGGCTGGTTGGGGGAGATGGGGGGGTCAGGGGTAAAAGTGGCATTTGTGCGTGCAGCTCCTTTTCTTGATTTATGTGGAGGCTGTAATGACATCATATTCAACAGCCGAAAGGGTAATAAATTAGATATCAGCTAATGGAGGCTTAGGCTCTTCCTTTGTTAGCGCGCTCCTGTTCTCTGCTCACATCGCTCTTTTCTTTTCCCTATGAAGTAAATACGCTTTTAATTACTTTCACATAAATTTTAAAGTGTCGTTTATTCACAGCGAAACTACTGACAAGAAGATGCTGGCATTAAAGAGCCTCTCTACAACGTAAACCTGTCGTTGCATTTATATTTAACTTCTTTTCTTCTTTTTCCAATGAAAAGTCACGAAATGTCTTTTAAATAAAGCTTCACCTGTTTTATGTTTGTGAAAACTGCTCCTCAGATCTGATCAGTAAAAGGTTTTTTTATCAGAATTGTGTACATTCGACCCAGTGCTGGATCCATTTTAGGGAAATGACTGAAGTGGATTGCTAAAGTCCTGGTCACGCCGTCCTAGAGACCACCTGTCACTGGTGAAGTTGCTGCCAGCATGAAATTGGTCATAAGAAGGAATACCACGCTGGAACGAAATCCTCCCCACAATCGCTTCAGTCAGGAGTAGACGGTGTGCAAGAAAGACTGCAAATGCTTGCAAACTAGTCACTGAGCTTCAGTGAACTTTGAAAAGGTGTGACGCAAACCAGAAACTGTGAACACTCACCTTCAAAGTAAAAGCTGCATCTTTTGCTGAGGCATAGCTTTAAAAGTTTTAAGGTGAACGTTCTCCGTTTCCAGTTCGTTTCACACTTTTTTACTAAAGCTCAGAGAGTAAATGGCGAGTCTTTGCCGATCACTTGGCGACCGTGTCAATCTGCTAGGGACCAAAGAGCTCACAAGGAACTTTTTGGCGCTCCACCCTCACTGTGACCACTTTCACCTGGTAACAGGGAGCAGCCTCCAGCAAACACTCACCAACCTGTCAGGACATACACGTTTCCCTACCCTGACTGGTCTCTAGGCCAGTGTGGCTGACACATTGCTGATCGATCACACTTCCTCTCTTGTTGCTTCCCAGAGGCCCACTCTGAGTCAGCAAGAACGCTGTTCTGGGCAATGAAACCCGCTTTTAATTAACATTTAGTTACCGTTTCACCTGAGACCGCAGATTTACTTATTACCTTCCAGCAAGCATTCCCGGTAGAGATCATCTTTATGTGTTTGAGTGTTTTCACCGCTGCATGGACGTGACCCTGTCAGTGGCTCATCAGCATGCAGTCATTAAACAGCTGCACTCTTCTTTTAGCAAATAACCAGTCGTCTTTCTCCGTGTATAAACATTTTAGGAGAGCTGTCAATTATCCAAACACTGACCTAAAATTTCTTTCTCCTGTTCCTGCTGCCAAAGCAGCAAAACCGCACCTTGTTCTTCTCTGCAGGCTGGTTCCACTCTGGAAAACTTTTAGCAGATAAAGCTAGACTCACATTTTCTTTCCTCTCTGTATCTACACACAAAACGGATGCATTTAGTAACCTTAAGTTTCAATGTCAGCTGTGTTTATTGGCTTCTTAAACTGAGTCAACTTGAAACCGAGCGTGTGCGCCTCAAAACCCTTCCAAAAATAAACACTGAGAACGACATCTAGCCTTTGACTGTGGTATTCAGCGGTGGGTGTGACAGCGGTGCTTTGTTCTGTCCATTAGAAGAGGCGGTGAATGTTATTACATGTCCCCGCTCTCTCATTTTTCCTTCCTGCCCTGTTGTTTTATGTTTTTTATCAGTAGGATCGTGCACAAAGCAGAATACTGCAACACTGCAGAGACGATCAATATTGAATTTTTTTTTATGTGACTTCCTCGTATTTCTTCATTATTATTATTTTTTTGCATGCATCAGTAATGATGCTGGGTGTTGTTGTTATTGTTGTTGTTGTTGTTGTTTTTTAACAACAGGGGTGAAGTGTGTCATCTCTGCAGCCTGCAACATCCTGTGCAGTAAATCAGTTTCCTAGTTTCTATTTGTATTTTATTCTGTTAGCTGTTTATTTTTCTTAATGGTGTCTGGGTGATTGCATCAGTCAAACAAAAAAACCCAACTTGAATGTAATTAGCAGTTTTTGCTGCAGTCATCGCAGCAGCATGGAAACCTTAACATCTGCTTTCCCTCTAAAAACACCGGGCCGAGCAGCGAAGAAGACAAACACATGCTGAGCTCTCGAGCTTCCTGTAAATGGTAATGTGCCTGTAGTGTGTTTATTGTTATCCGTTTTAAAAAGAAAAAAGTGTAATAGTCTGGACTTATTTGTGAAGAAGAGAGTTATCAGGTCTTTCTCTTTAACTGATTGGAAGCAGCTCAGTAAAGTTTTCTTTTGTTTCTGTTTCCACAGGCGGTCGGAGGAGGAAGTGGATATGGACAAAGTGACGGCCGCTATGGTGCTGACGAGCCTCTCTACCAGCCCGCTGGTGAGGAGCCCACCTGTGAGAGTCAGTGGTAAGCATCATTAGTACTAAATAAACAGCCGTAAATAAATATTTCCTTTTTATGCGTCACTTGGCTATTTTTCTAATAACATAGCAGAAGTTTTATGAAAAGCGAACTAAAACAAGTCGCTGAGCCAATAATTTGTGTGTTTTCCTGTACGCTGTGTTTCATTCCCTCACAGCTGTTATCTTGTGAATGCATGTGGAAGCTTAAGGTTGATAAATTACTGCCACCTGCTGTGCTGTAGGATCATCTCATCAATGAGCTGTGGAAATCCAAAGAAAAGCACAATGAGTCTGGATCTCTGCCACTCGGCAAAGTGGCGGAAGTCCAAAATGCCCCACAACTGCAATCTCGTGAAACCATTTAGGCGGTCTTTGTAACCAGCCTGCTGTCCTTCCAGCCGAGCAGACGCGCAGCCAACCACCGTGCACGTGGTGTCACTGCCGTACGTCATGCACAGATGAACAAACTGGGCTTTAAATGCTAACTGTACACTTTTTATCTAAATGTAGTCATGTAGTTTGAGATCACACAGCGTGCACGGAACACAGAGCACTGCTGATATCTCTCAAATGAACCAGTAGTCTTGTTGTTCTGACCACTCAGAGCCTGTGCTGCTGCTGAGCCACATCCTCTTTTATGTTAAATGTTCTGCTGAAGAAACGAGTGAAGAGAGAAGAGAGAGGCACCCTGCCAGGAAGCAGCTTCACTAAACCAAACTGGGTCTCTGTCTCTCTCACACACACATGTACAATCACTGCAAAGTTTTCCCCTGCTTCACTAAGTGAAATGCCTTTTGTGGCTGATATTCAAAAGAAACTCTTCTTTGATCTTAAAAAAAAGAAGACCTTGGAAGTGTCTCGGTGGAATCACACAACAGGAGAGTAACCTTTATTTTCTTGTGTCATAGTGAAGACTGCTTCTGGGAGGCTCTTTTTTTGTGAAGTGCAAATATAGCTGTCTGAACCTAATTGGATGTCTTGATCTCATCCTTTGTTGTGTTTGTAGCATTTACAGATATAACTAAAGAAGTTTGAGCTTCTGTTAGATAAACTCTCCATCTCCTGTTCCTCTGTGTCTTCAGAGGGTCTGAGTGGATCGTGGAAAGACAACGGCTCGGCCGGACCCTTCACCCCATCGAGCAACAGCTCCTCGGGGGGCTACTGGAGCTGGTCTGCTCCGAGCGATCAGTCCAACCCCTCCACACCATCCCCACCGCTCTCTGCAGACAGCTTCAAGCCCTTCCGTGTACCCAGCCTGGGAGGGGTGGGGCCTGGCCCCGCAGGACCTGAAGACCCCATTCTGGATGAGCAGGACGGGAGCAGCCTGCTCTTTGATGAGCCCATCCCTCGCAAGCGCAAGGTGAATAGAGTTTAGCTGGGTAAAAATCCTGTGTGGGTTCTCTGGATACTCCGGCTTCAGTCCAAAGACATGAGTTTAGTGGGGTTTGGTTAATTGGTGATTCTAGATTATCCATGTGAATGTGAGTCTGAATGGTCGTCTGTCTCTCTGTGTTAGCCCTGTGACAGACTGGCGACCTGTCCAGGGTGTACCCTGCCTCTCGCCTTGTGATCTTGATGCGCTTCCCCTGTCTGACACAGATGGTCTTTTTAAGGCACATTTCTTTTAAAGAGAGGGTGGAGGAGGGTGAGGCCACTGAGGTGATCATATTAGCTATATCCTTACTCAATGACAGAGCCAAGAGTAGGACAAAAAACACATGAAACGGAGTGTTTATAGCAGACTGAGCCGACTCCCTGTGAGGGATTACTTGTACATGCGTTGACCTCGTTATTTGAAATCTTTAAAGCGAGTATCACTGCTGTACAGGGAAAATCATATACACAGATAACAAGGACGAACATCAAATGCCCCTTCAAAATGATGAAAACCACTGCACGCTGTGTTTTCCCAACACGATTTTTCGAGTCAGTTGAATTTATGCTAATATCATCTCGATGGTTCTGTAAATTTAGCAGAAAAGAGACGAAGCCAATAAAGATTTGAGCCAAATTCAATGGTTAAACTTAATTTTTGTTAGTGTGTGTTTTTAGACTCAAAATACTGTTGAAGAACTTTAACTGTACAAAAGCAGTTATGCTTCATGGATAACAATCAGCAGCCAAGTTACCTGGTAAACATCTGCCATCAATGCAGCATCAAGAGAAATAAGAATGACTGTCAATCAGGGAGTTATCAGCACTGGATTATTTCTGATACAACCATATTAACATGGTAGCAGTTTTTCATTGTTAAACATCGGCACTGTTAGTAGTTAATCATCACGGGGTTAAGGGAAGGAGATATGATGATATGTTTCCCAGGTGCTTTTGTCCCACTTGTGGCTTCACTTTTATTACCGTGTGGTGCATTAAAAGCTTTTTTTGAAGGAAACAGTCGCACTGATCCTGATAGCAGGCATATCTGGAGGTAAGAATAAAGGTCGTGAACTTGTCTTTGAGATCCCGCCACATGTACATGAGCTGGTTGATTTCTCTTCTGCAATATTAACCTGTGAGGTTACTGATGTAATTTAGTTTCTGACTGATAGGCGGAGAGGGAAATTGGACAGGAAAGGACACAAAGCCTTTTTTGCTCCGGTCTTGAGTTTCGTGTCACGCGTCCTGGCCACACACACACTTTCTTTCACACTAATCATTTCACCTCGTCTCATCACTACGCGCCACTGACAGCTCATCACATCTACACCACGCTGTCACTCGTTATTTTGTCCGACGTATATTGCGTCGCTCTCTCTCTCTCTCTCTGCCTTCATCTCGGGGCTCTCCTCTGCTTATCAGCGCTCCTGTGTGCCAGTTTGCCGACGGTATCATCCATCTCCCCTCCTTTCATTCTTTCCTCTCCCCTGCTCTCGCCTCTGTTTTCTCCCCTCTCTCTTCCGTTCTCGCTGCTTGAGTGTGTCCTCCCCAGACATTTGTCCTTAATAATTACTTCCTTAGCCTTCACGTGTAGCTCCTCTCAAAAACACAGTAATGATTTGAATTCCTCAACGGCAAACAGAAAAGATTCTGCTGGCCTAAAAAAAAAAGAAAAGAAAAGGGGGGGGGAAATCGATAGACTCTTTAGTGAGCTCCACGTTGGCGCAGTGTACTCGGATAATTGGGAAGATCACAAAGAAGGGCGTGGAGGGAGGAGAAAGAGAGGGAGAAACGGGAAGAGAGATGAAGGTTGTGGATGAAAAATTAAAGAGTGACTAACAGGAATTACATGAAAAAGGAAGAGAGCGCAGACGGAGGCTTGAACAGCGTCTCCGAAAGCTCCTATAATGTTGGCTTAACAAGTCGCACTCACACAATCTATACGTGCAGATGCCAGGCTTCCTCGTGAACTTATCTACATGCTACTCGCGTGCTCTTGTTTTTCTCCTGGCAGCGCCGCACCGTTTGAGGCTCCCCATTTAATTAACTGTGAAATGTTGCTTTAAAGGGGCGCACACGCTCGCCAACACACAAAATCGGCTTTTGTTACGCAAAGACAAAACAATGCAATCGGGGAAGGGGGGCACGTGATTGCTGTGTGTATGTGTGAGAGTGTTTCTGAAAGAGAGAGAAAATTAGAAATAAAACATGTTGTCAAAGTTAAATCAGCCTGCTTAACAATAGCTTGACAGACGTGGTTATAAGACCGTTTATAATAGCTCGGAGCGAGAGTGCAGGAGGCAGGGAGGAAGTTCACGGGGCTCTTTTACTCCATGAAAACAATACACGGTCTCTGTAGGACGCCGGTGGTTTAATTACATTAGGCAGATCAGAGACACTGGAGCATCACCGCCATTGTGTCCACGGTAACACCAGAGATAGATGCTGCATTAAAGCTGTGTGTCTATTTTGTTTTCCTCCCTAGTTTTAATCTACATCATTTCAAAGTGACACTTTATAGTGTAACGCAAAGACTTTAAATATGGTATCATAAACTGATCACTCTGAAGGAGACTGCATTTTTAAAGTCCTTTAAATCCTTTAAATTCCCAACGTAAACATGGCATATCTGCATTTTAATCTAGGACAGGTATGACGTTGAACAATGAATACTAGCAGGGTGTTAGTGAGGCAGTGCAGCAGCATGTTTAATCTGAGAAATTTCATTTATCTCCATATATCGCCTTAATTTAGTAAATTATGGTTATTTTACTCTAAAAACAGCCCCTACATCAGAATGTTGTAATTTCTATGTATGTGTTTGTTCGTTTAAAATAAAATGGCATGTGATGTGCAAAAAAAGAGCAAGTTGCAATTTAAATTTTACACTTTTTAAATGGATTATAATAGTACAGTGGATATATTTTTTTGTACCTACTTTGCTACCTGAGCGAATTTTCATTTCTGTGCAGTCTTAAACGAACTGTAATGTTATCAGTGACTTTATACTGTACATTGTCCACTTGATTAGGTACACCTGCTCGTTAATGAAAATGAGAGTTTTTCTATAACCTAAAAAAATATTTTTCTGTAACCTTTATCTGAACATGTCTGTGGTGCAGATAAACTTTTTCCGTGTTAATGGCAGATATTAAAAAACACATCCTTCAGAGAAAAGAAGCTTTCATGTGTACGATTTCTTGTTATGTACCCTGCAGTTGTTGCGTGTGACTCTCTGAAGTTGGCATCAGAGCGCCAGCGAAACACTGATGTGCTGTGTGTCTCCTGCAGAACTCCATGAAGGTGATGTTCAAGTGCCTGTGGAAGAACTGTGGCAAGGTGCTGAGTACTGCCGCTGGCATTCAGAGACACATCCGCACCATCCACCTGGGGTAAGACACAGACGGTCTGCATACACACCTGAGATAAAGTCCACTCGAAGCCTCAAAAACGGCTCTGCTGCTCATATCCTGCCTCTGGTTGATGACTTACAGGTTATCAGCATAGTAATATGTCCCAGTGATACTGGATAGATGGCTAACCTGACCTTTAGGTGGAGATTTACATTCATGATGTATTTCTGTCTGTCCTGCCCCTGCGCTCGTCTCCCAGTCGTAACTGTGACTCAGACCTCAGCGACGGTGAGGAGGACTTCTACTACACGGAGATTAAGCTGAACACGGACTCGGTGGCCGACGGGCTGAGCAGCCTGTCCCCAGCTTCGCCCTCTGTCCTGTCTCCCCCGCCTCCTCCCCCGTCTCCTCTCCCCTCGGTCAGCCAGCTGCCAGACTCCCATAAACCGACTCAACCCTCTGACACCAAGGAGCCCCACGCCGGCGGCACCACGCCGCTCAGCCGCTCTGCACCCAGCGCTCTCTACCTCATCCACACAGACCATGCCTACCAGGTGATGAAGACTTATGTGCTCTGTATACGTCCCTCAGTTTCTCACACATTACTATCGAGGTCCTTGTTACGCTGACGATGTGTCACAGTGTTCGTAAACACACTAAAGATCTCGCAGCGACTTGTGGTCCCTCCCTCCCTATAGCAGCTGTGCTAACAGTTGCGGTCTATCAACACACAAGCAGCAGGTTTGAATAATTAATTAAAGGTTGAAAAATGACACAATTTATCTATTTTAGCCTCGGTTTTCAGATTATTGTTTGAAGAATAACCGCCATTAGCTTTCCATTAATATCTGTGCATCTAATATTAATGCAGAGCTGCACGCTTGAGGTCTGACATGAGTAGTTATGTTTCTGATAAAGGCCAAAAATCTGCCTTGAAAAAAACCTTCTTTGAATAAAGTATATTTATCCGACCATTAAAATCTACCTCACCTAGAAAATAACAAAAGAGGGTTTTTTTTAACAAAAAAATGTAATAGAAAGAGAAATCTGACCCAAAAAAAGAAACCTCCTCTGGGTAAACTCGGTGTCAGAAAAGATGGAAAAGTCCCATCTCCAGCCAATCAGTAGCCTGCAGTATAAACATGTAAAGGACAGGTGTAGTTTCTGGGTAAAAAAAAAAGGGAAGTCATTCACCTGCTTTCTTTCTAATGGCCAGCAGGGGGAGACTCCCCTGGTTCCAGTTGATACTAAGTCTATGGGGAACAGACCCTCAGCTCTGTTGGTTGTGACATCATTAACACTTTTCTGATTAATTTATGGTCTTGAGCACAAAATGATAATTTTATAAATTATGGCTTTAATTGGAAGCAAAAAAAGAGATTAAAGCAAGGTATGCTTCAGGGCGCTTGATCATTAAATCGAGTTTCAAAGCAGAAAAAAATGTTCAGCTTGAGGCTTCGTAAGAGGATTTCACTAACCACTGTCTGACATCCCAATACAAAGAAGCTCTGCATCAATTAACAAATACTAAAATAAATAAAAGTATTCCAATATGCTGAATTTAAATAAAAGTTAAAAATAGTGACCTTTGACCTCTGCCTTCAGGCCACGGCTCCAGTGTCCATCCCGTCCAGCAGCAACAACAACTCGGCCGGCTCGGCGTCCACCAGCTTCACTCCCACCAACAGCTCCAGTTTCAGCATCTCTTGGCAGTCGCCACCCGTCACTTTCACCGGGACCACGGTGAGAAAGCCTGGCTCAGCCTTTGCTTTCACGCAGCTCGTCTTTCTCTTATTCATGATCTGCTCTCGTTCTCCAGGTGTCTCCCAGTAAAAGCCAAGGATTTGGTGACCAACGTTCCCAGACCATTGCAGTGCTTTCGTCCCCTCCCAGAGCCACCGCTGCCCTCAGGTACTGGACTCTCACAGAGTCTCACCTTATGACTGGTTATAGCTTCAGTTAAAGGTCGAATTAAACCTTTCTCTTTCAGCTTGTTTGGTGCAACCTGAAAAATGGAATAAGGCTCTGATATGTGTTTATCTATCTCTGCAGTCAGTGGCGTAATTAAAAAGAACCAGTTAGCTTAGCACAATGGTGGGACTGGGAGGAGACAGATGTCATGTTTTTCTTAGCAAAAAGGAAATTTCTTCCAACATATGGACGCACCTCAAAAAATTAGAATGTAAAAAGTTGAATATGTTCCATCAGTTATTTAAGAAAGTGAAATTTTAATCTATTTTAAACTCATTACATAGAAACCATCATGCTTCAGCATTTCTGTTTTAACTTTGATAATTGTGGCCTACAGCTAAAAAATAAACATATCTCACGTTATTAGAATATTTCATTTTGAGTTTGAGTAAACTGCTATGAACACGGTTTAAATAGTGTGTGCCTGTCAGTCTAGTGCAGCGAACACAGCCACAATCATGGGGAAGACTACATGCTTTACGGTCCTCCAGATGACGATCCTCTACGATCATCTACAGCCCACACAGGGAGAGTGAGCCGCAGAAGGTCACTGCTGTAAAGGCTGGCTGTTTGCAGACAGCTGTAGTGGAGGATTGGAGTACTGTGGGGAGGACTTGGGACCTCCCCACAGTACCAAAACTGCCAAATATTTTGCTGACCGTGTTATTGCTGTACCTGATTGGCCATTGACCTGAACCCCACAGAGGAACTATGCGCTGTTGTCAGGAAGAAGATACACACAAGCTGAGACAGCAACTTCATCTGCAAACATGTGGAACATGTCAGATAGATTTGTGTTCATGTTAACCTCTAACATGTTGTACTCTTCATGGTTTTCTGGTTTTGGTTTTCAAATGTATGCTTTTATGGCGGACAAAGTTTCAAATAGTGAGGTCAGTGTAAACACGAGTAATCTCTGTGAGCTGAAAACTCGTGATTGCTCTTTTTGCTTGGTTATGACATCTTAGATGATGTCCCTAAGTAGCTCCACCCTCCTGCGGCTTTGAGGGGCAACCAGTGAGAAAAAAGCTTTCTTCCAGGGAGGCTGGCCTTAAAGGGACAAGAGCTAATCAGTTAGTTGCAGTGGGCATCTGGGCAAGACGAATAAGAGTCCAGGAATAATAACGCCCAGTGTTATAAGCGTTGTGCTGTTGTTTGTTATGTCGTTAATATATAACAGCTTCATGTGCTGTTGGTCTTCATCTCTCCTCCAGTCGGAAGGTGCGTGGCGAGGGGAAGAAGTGCCGTAAGGTGTACGGGATGGAGAACCGCGACATGTGGTGCACCGCGTGCCGCTGGAAGAAGGCCTGCCAGAGATTCACTGACTGATCGTCCCCCGCAGCTCGCCAGACAAACAAGCCATGCAGTTTTCCAGCTGAGGAAAACAAGGGGAAAAGGGGGGGGGCGTCATCCTGCATGCATTCGGTTTTCTTCAGATCAACATCGCAACTGTCTGTCAGCTATGGCCCCGCCCTCGTTCTCCGGCTCCGTCCCACACCCCACCCAACCTCATCAGCTCCACTGAACCATTCCAGCTGTGGAAGCAACCGCAGGACGGCAGAGTCACCTTTCACATCGCCGTCCGGGATTCCCAGCGTGGGCTCGCCATTCCCTTCTTTCCCAGTTTTTGGGAAAACCTCGGTGCAGCTAAACAGTGTAAAGAAAAAAAAAAAGATTTCTGCAGTTTTTTTGTTTTCTTTTTTTAATGTTGGGTTCAGTGTTGCATCTTTCTATGTTTTGTACAGCTCTGGTTTTTAAATGAAAGTCTTGTCAAAGAAGGGGGTTGAGAAAAAGGCCAAATGATTTTTTTTTTTTTTTAAGTGTGTGTTTTCTCAAAAGATTAGAGTAAAAAACACTTTTTTATTCAAAAGAAGAAGGGAACTCTCTGAAGTCCGTTTTAAGAAAGCTATGAAAAAGCACGTGGAGGTAAAGCTCGCAGTTTTTGTTCTTCCTTCGACTTGTTCGTCCCTTTGTATCCAATTCTGGACTTTGAGGTGATCTTTTATCACGGTCCCTCACGCCTCCCGGACAGCACCGAGGGAATGCATGACAACTTTGCAACCGAAAACTCCAAAACTTTATCCTGTCCTTCACGTTTTGTTTTGTTTTTTTTGGTTAAGGTGCCATGTTTAGTGTAGTCGGTGTCATTTATTTCTTTTTCTTTTTTTTGGTGAAACTAAGACTGCTTACCTACCTGCTACTACGATGTGTGTTAAAGACCCTCCTCATAGCACTGGAAGTCAGCAGCAACGTTCAATGCAGTCGCCCTCCTGCACCAACTTTTACTCCAACAAATTAAGTTTGTTTACATCTGCCACAAAGGCGTCTCCCGATGACCTAATATCCAAAAGAAGGGAGGGCTGAAAACCCAAAGTGAGATACTTTTTGTGTAACGCAGTTCCTTTGCGGTCCCTTTTAAAAGCTGGAAGTGTTTCCGCGTCATCTCCTGACTGGACGTTACAGAAAGAGTAATAATATTTGTCCGCCCGCTTGCGGCTGCTCCCCCTTAAATTCTCTGCAGCAAGCTTTTGTTTTCATTTTGGGAGAGCAAAGCGGCACTTAATTAAGTCACTCCTTTGGCGTTTAACTTAATTCACTCAGAACGCAAAGCTTTGGCTCACGAGAGTCTGTGTGATTGGCTGCTGAGGTGAGAGCAGGTTGAAAAGCCTCCTTTCTTCCGCCTCAGAGCCAGGAAGTAGAATCACGAGGCCCGAGCGTTTACAAACGCGGACCAACTCTTTCCATCTGCTTTCTAAGATCGTCCTGAAAGCCTCGACCTTTTTTGGGAGGGTTTCTGTCAAACACACTCTCTCACACGCACACTCGCGCACAAACAGGCTTCATCAGAGTTTCTAAAAACCAACACCAGCTGATAAACTCACACACACTCGTCCAGTTTAAGCGCCTGAAAGTCGTGGCGCTCTCTTACTTTTGATCAGCTGTTTCTAGTTTGTTCCTGTATCCTGTATATATTTGTTTTCCTTTTACGCTCCTTTTTTGTTTTAATGACCGCCAACCTCTGTCATCACAAATGCCACCTTATGAACGAGCCATGCTGTAGGCGCAGCCTTCAAGTCACTCTTTGAAAGGCCATCGTGCTTGTTACAGTGAGGTTTTGTCAACATGTTACTGTTTAAGTCAAATCTATTGTCTGGAAAGAAACAGTTGCATTTAAAACTAAAAACATGAAACTAATTTGTTTTTTTGTTATTTAAATGTTCATACATATGAATATACACATCCATATATATATATCTATCTATATATATATATGAAGTGTTTATGATTTTTGTTTTCATGTTCTGCTGAGGGAGACTCTTATGTGGCGTCATCGGCTTCATAAACGAAGCTCGTTAGGCTCTTTTGAGTGAGCGTGACCCTCACATTCCCGCCTGGAGCTCCTTCACGTTAACGCTCTCCACTGCCGGCGCTGCGTCAAAAACTGCAGTTGATTAAAACCTTTATCATATTTCCAATTCTGCCACTCCGCCCCCCTATCGTTCCCCGCCCGTGTCACGCAGGCCCGCCTGCAATTAGTTTGATTGACACCTCAGTGTGTTTGCGCTCGCTGGCTCTTGTGTGTGAACTCTGAAGGAGCCCCGGGCAAAGCGCGCGTGTGTGTGGAGGGGGGCTGCTGCTGAAGCTCGGTGCTCCTGCACTCCCCTGAAGCGTCTAACGGCCCGTGGCGTTTCTCTGTCTCGTCCACTCCTGATTTGGCCGCACTGGGGTTTAAGGATGTTTTAGTTGAGGCTGAACGGGGCTTCTCCGTCTCAGCGTTTGGATCGTTTTCCTCCACTGATGTTTAAAATATATTTATATATATTTGGCAGCCAATCAGATTCAGTCAGGATCCTGTCCAGAAACGAGTCCCTTCAGTTGTTCAGATCATTCAGAGCACTGGATAATTACAGTGGCAGCATTTCCAGGCAGCTAGTTTTTCCTCTCTCTGGGTTGTCGAGTCGATCTCACGGTTGACAATAAGATTTGGCCAAAATAAGCTCATCTCACTCCCTCGCTTAGAGGTGATCCAAAAAAATTACTTCAAAGATATATTTGCTGCCATATTTCTGAAACCCGTCCATGTTCTCTTGGATCGTGGGGAAGCTCGATGGGATTTGTTTTGTGGACCGTGGCCTGATCTGAGAACATCTCGATGGCCCAAAGATGGCCTCGTCGTGACGGTGCTTTCAGAGACACTGTGCCAGGGTTTGTCTTTGCATGCGTCCTGGTGCCCTCGGCGGAGGGAGAAACAGAGGTGCTAAACACTCAACGCAGTGCTGTTTCTCCATTAACTCCATTTTGTAAACATTGTTTTGCTGTAGAACATGAAAATAAAAATTAAATAAAAAAAAAACCCATCCAAAAAACAAACAAACAAAAATACACGGTTGTTTTTTTTAAATGCTTTTATTTTGGTGACTTCTATTGATGACTGTTTCCTCGCGTCTGCGGCTCAGCCCTGTGAATAGATGGAAAACACCGGCAGAATATTAAATCGGCTTATTTTCTATTTCACTTTGAATCTGAACTCTTATGTTCAAGCTTGGAAGTTATTTTCTGTAACAACAAAGAGCTTCAGAATAACAGCTGATGAAAATCGAATCACAGTCCATGTACTCACTGGTCCTTGAGCTTTCAGGCTTCATCAGCAGGTTCGGTTTTCATTGAACTGCAGATCTTTTCAGCTGTGCAGTCTCGGTCTGCTCGAGTCTGAGCTTCAAAACGTACTCAAAAGAATCAAATATTCACTGTGCAGGAGGGCTTGTTTCATAACAGTCTAATAATTGGTTCATTAATAATCACCACAGCTGGTAAAATTAGGACTATGGGAACTAAGTTACATACTTATGGGTTGTAAAGTAGCTTAAAATGGGTTGTTGTGTTCTGTTCTTATTTTTGTCACATATACTATTGCAGTTATACTCATATTAAAATAATCAGACTAACAAATGTGATCCCAGCCAACCGGAAACATCTGCTTCAGAAGACCGCTGTTCAAAACTGCTGCTTGTGAGGGGCAGCCAAGGTAGAAAGCTGGCTAAAAATGAAAGGGGCTGAACTCATCAGGCTTGTACTGTAGCCCGTAATATAAATAAGGATTATTTCAAACTGTGAGTCATGCAAAGCTACTCTAGCAGAACCAGAGAATAAAAGGCTCATTATAGGAAAGTAGCACAATAAATAGGTCCCCTTTTAAATTTGCCTTTTATCAGTGCTGATGAAGACATTCAAAGGCTCTGGATGGAGTGAGTAAACGGGCAGTTTTTTCTTACCGTATACCGAGCATGATGAAATTTGACATAACGTGCAGACATATGGCTGCAGCATCTTGTTATTTAACTATCAAATGGAGATATTTGCAGAGATGCAGAATAATTTATAATTTACTTCCATTTAGATGAAAATAGCAGGGGGGAAATCACGATGTTCATTTTACCCCCAAATTGACAGGTTAATGATGTGCAGCACACCATATGGCAGCATCGCACCGATCAGATAATCTAACTTGTTCATTCATATTAATCTGATCTCTCAGCCCTGAAACCTGATGGGATTTTGGGGGGTGGAGGCGTAAACACGAGTTCAGAAATGGGCTATCATTATAAACACGTGTTCACACAGCTTAATTAAAACGGTGGCATCAAAGGCCCACGATAGGCGGACTTGTTGCTCGAGAGGGAGCCATATGAATACTTATGAGGACTTTCTTTGTTTTGTTTTTTGTTTTCTTGTCACACGGAGCGGCAGCGGCTGGTCTGGCTTTTGTTCTCTGTCGTGTTTACTTCGCTGCTGCCTATTAAAGGGCTGAGCTGTGATTTATGAGCCGAGTAAAACAAGACAGCATTATTCTACTTACGGACGATATAAACATCAACTCTCATGAGCTATGAGGGACCCTGTGTGTGTGTGTGTGTGTGTGTGTGTGTGTGTGTGTGTGTGTGTGTGTGTGTGTGTGTGTGTGTGTGTGTGTGTGTGTGTGTGTGTGTGTGTGTGTGTGTGTTGCACTTTGGGCTGTCACTGCTCCTGAACGGTGGCAGCTTTAACAGCAGTTCACGTGTTGACAGTTTTATGAGGACCCCTCGTTTGTGTAAGCTGACCCTTAACCAGATCAATATTTCATACGTGACGACGCTTGTTTTTGTGACAAGAGGCTGACACTTAATATACCCTGTATCATCCACCTATGAGGTCAATATATGCTACAGTACAGTATATCTAAGCTACAGTATCGGTGTGTATCAGTACATTGATGTGATATCTCTAACTATAATACGATCAAAATTCCTACTTTTTTTTTATTTAAAGTGACGGGCTGTGCCTTTGGTCAGGTGCCCCCCCTCCCCGGCCCCCACCTCAGCTGTGTCTGCAGACGTGCCACCCACCCACGTCTAGTGGGCGATAATGTGCGTGAGCCCACGGTGCTGTTATCTGCCCCTGCGCCCTGCAGTTTGCCTCACAGACCCTCCAGTGTTCTGCAAGGCTAACAGCAGGTGGCGCTCTGCTGAGACTGGGGAACAAGTGTGTTTGCAGTGTCAGAGCCTTCCAACTCTCTGGGCTGGTTTTTATGGCTGCTGTGCTAACTGGCAGCATTTTTTGGGGGGTGTCTTTGCCTCTTTCCAGCTGCCAGTGCAGCAGCATGGGGCAGCGTTGTTGTTGTTGTCGATTTAAAAGGGTAGGGGCCCTCTTCTCGAGTCCGTCCTTCATTCATTCAGGAATGTGAATAAGGAGGAGGAGGACGGTGGAAGGATGGGTGAAATGGCTTTGGGAAACGCTCAGAAGTCCTGAGTGTGTGTTTCCAAGAGTTGCTCCCCCCTCTCGACCACCACCTCTCATTTCTGGTGGTTACCTTTTGGAGGAGTCTTGAATGTGCCTTGATGAGCGTGGAGTTTCTAGATCGGACCTCAAGCCGTCGCAGCGTTGTGCTCTGAGAAACTCTGGAGGAATGTTTCTGGTGCTGGCTAGTCTGAGTTCTCCTGTGAGCCTCTTTAGCCCCGTCTCAGCTCCAGAAAGAAAGATGTTGCAAGATATCTGCGAGTGACTTTTCTACTCTTTGCTGTAAACTTATTTTTTTGATCCAAACCTGATGATGATAATGATGATGATACTGTGTTTCCAATGTGTTTTTCCTTCTCTTTGCTTTCCCAAACATGAACCCCCTCTCCCCTTTGTGTAAGGGCTTGTAGATAAATATATGTTGACATGAAGAAGAATCGCTGTCGTGGCGCAATCTCGATATGTTTGGGAAATCAAGGAAGCCTCGTTTTCAGCAAACGGCATGTGAAACAGTCGGTGAGATGATCCATTTATAGCGCTGAGCTGCTAAGCGGCTTCCACGGGAAAACCTCAACGGGCATCGCTCGCGTTCGGCGTGAAGGTGAGGCGATCAGGTAGAGAGAAGAAACTCACTTTCCGTCAGCCGGAATTCTATCATTGGATTTTTAATCATTCGGAATGTAAATTCGCTAAACAGTCCAGACGGCGTTCAGTCTTTGTTTTCAGGGTATTTGTGCCGCAGCTTCCTCAGTTTGAACTCGAATATGCAACAGAGAGCTCGGCCCTCTCTCCAAACTGGATCACCTCACTGGCTGTTTTATTTTGATTACAATCATGTAGACCTCAAGAACTCAATGACTGTCGCACTGGATTTTTACACTCCTTTTTCAAACATTATATACATCTATATATATCTATATATAGATATATATATATATACACACTGCTCTGGTCTAACTGTATTTTTAATACTGCATGTGCATGCAAATAAGGAAATTATGGGAAAACATGACTTTATATAAATGTGCTCTACTTGTGCTGTGGCGTCCAGGACGGGGACTCGAGAGCAGCCAGTGCAGTCCTCGGTAGCTAAACTGCGTCACAGTTTAGCTTCAAAATAAAATCCCCTGCTTTTGTTTGCAAATCTCTTTAAAAGTACCCGATTCCTCAGCTGGTTGGATGCTGAGGACGAATTCTTTGTCGTCCCTCCTCCTGCATGCACCGCCCTTGGGAAGCTGGATTGAAAAGACACCCAAAGCTTTGAAAAGGCCGATGTTTTCCATGTGTGGACATCAGTCACAGGAGGCCTGAATCATGTGGTGCTTGATTGAATCAATTGTTTACACCACACACGGTACAAAATGATTTGAGAGGTCTAACCGCGAGTTCCCTAAAACACGGTGATTATTTAAAACATAATT